GATGGATGGATGGATGGATGGATGGATGGATGGATGGATGGATGGATTCTCTCGCCAACAATGGATTCTCTAGGATGGATGGATTAACTATCCTGGATGGATGAGGTCCTCAACAACCTGATCAAAATGGATTCTCTAGCCAAGCGACGTGGCAAGCGCGTGTCGGTGCGGTGCGGGTCGGCACAAAGTTGCCATGTGTGCGCCGACCCTTTCGCAAACCGGATGTAGAATGCCTGGAAACCCAGCCCCAACCAAAAACAGTTCTGGATGTTTCCACAACCACAGCTTAGTTGTTTTCAAGGATCTCAAGCTCGCGCCATATTGGGTTCCAACCAAAACTGTTTCTGCTTCAAACTGGCTTTTCAGGCCCCCGACATGGCGTGGAAGTCACTGGCGCCATGGATCACGACTGATCCGTGGCAGATTTCGCGAGGATTCGAAATGGTCGTCGTGTGCCAGCTGGCCCCCCAAAAGCGGTGGGGTCACCGAGTCCAGACTGAGTATTTACTGAGTGACACAGTGTAAAGGACCTCCACTTCCCCACACTGGTGGAGAACTGCCATCATGGATGGGAACTATATTAAGCTACAATACTAATATATAACTAATAGAACCGCTTCTGTAAGGGCGACCAAGGGCGGTTCTTTTCAACTATACTTGGCCATCAGTGGCATTCTCGTATGTACCAATCACGAGCTTGTGCCACTTGCGCCAAGCCAAGTGGTTTCTTATGTCAGCATGTAAACAGGATCTAAGGCGCTCCTTGGCTTCCATATGAGCAGGGCTTACCGCTCCGAACTCCTTTATTCCACCATATTCCACCACCCCTCCCGCTGTCCATTCTCCGATCGGTGCAGGTTCCGTGCCTGCGGCTCCTTGAGCAGCTTCAGCGCTGCCTCCCCAACCGCCTCGCGCGGCTCTGCCATGGCGGGGCTGCAGCGTTGCGGCGGTCGTGTGCACGTTTGGCGGTGAGAATCGCTGCTGTTGCATGGAGCCCTGTGGGACCAGGCAAAACGACCTGTGGTTATGTTGTTTTTATTGAGGTTGGTGTATCAGATGTGGTATGCAAGGGATCCATGACTGGTCTCGAATCTTTTTTCCTGTTGATAGTTCGTACGATATCAAGCAGCAGTGCCAGGAAGAAAATGAAACCCCGTGAATGGATCAAATGACTCATGTGGCGATGCAGAACATTGGTATGTGGCTGCATCTTGATGTCTTTAAGCTCACAATGTGGGTTCTTGTGAAAGAGAAAACGCCCCAAATGCCATTCAAAAAGCTGCGGCGCTGGGCCTAGATGCAAGTCCTGTGAGCCCAAATCAGATGTCGGAATCTGAAAGCACAACTCACCGCGACTAGGAGATTTGGGCGAGGTGACTGAAGCTCGTCGTCGGAGGCCTTCAGTCACCTGTTTCGCTCCTGTTGAAGGGAAGCAGCTGCGAAACTCGCCGCGTTGGTGGCCAGGGGGTTGGTAGGCCCTACGAGTAACAGGGCACCGCTGGTGCAGCATGACTGGTCTCTCAAGTCAAAAAAGTATGAGGCAAGTGCCAACGCACAAATGTGACTCAGCACCGGGTCTTTCCGCTGGAGAGCACAGAGTCAGGAGAGCACACGGAACTCAACCATTCCTGGATTCCTGCCCCCACCAGTTTGAGGATTTCACTATATAAACCAAGTCAACCTACCTTTGTCATGGTCTTGGCAGGTTCATTTTGCTTCAAGTGATCTGTTTGGATTCTTTCAGATGTGGAGCAACCCTCTCGCCCAAAACCTGCACCCGACTCGCCAAGAACCTCTTCGCTCCCCGACTGATGCTCCGGGAGTTGGTGGACCTGCTGCCCCGAGACCGTCACGTTGTAGGCGATGCCTCGAACGTGGACGGCGCGGTGCCGAAGAAAGATGGAAAGGCTGGAGGGAAAGTTGGATAAAAAGAGGCACCATCTTGCGTTATCTGTTGAATGCAGGCCATTCAGACATGCGCATGTTTTCATGCTCAACGTCGCGTATCACCGTATCACCCCGCAGCCCACCTGGCGTGCCCTTCCCACCTGCCCACCCGAAGCAAACCGGGCACCCTTGCCAGCAAAGCCAAACCTGACGACGCACCCGGTGTTCCTCTTTTTGAACAAATCCGAAGCTCGATATTCATGGGTTCATGGCTGCAGAGCCGCAAGTGTTTGTTGCAAAAACCGTGGTGGTATCTCTATGGGCTGGCGAAATAGATCTCTTGTTTTTTGCGTTGATCTCTGTTGGCTTTGCATATTCTTGAAACACCCGATGCAAATGACATACGTATTTACATGACAATCCTGTTCTGTCCGTGGGGCATGGACTGCACAATTTTAGAGAACACCTTCCTCTGGCGGACGGTATTCAGTCTATGTCACCTGTGGACCTTTGCTGCACTTCTGCATACGGCTTTCGGGACAAAAACCAAATCACCCACGTGAGAACTGTGCTAAGATGTCTTTTCTAAAGGGATCCAGCACCCCTAGGATCTTATGATTGTAAATATATATATATGTGTAATCACATTTATATAAAAATATATGCAGTAATCATATATATATATATAGTTAGATTTACATGGGTGGTGCAAGAGGGACTCTTCAACTGGTTGGTGTACATTGTAACCTAATGATAAACATATTTATTTGATTTAGTGTCATCAACAGCATGCAAATGCACCCAGTGATCTGGCCGGGCAATCACTTGCGCATTGGGAACTAACATCACTTGCGCATTGGACATCACTTGCGAACTGGGCATCAATCACTTGTGCACTTACCTGCTTCCTAGCTCCAGGGTGGGGGCGGTGGATCACATGCCTCCATACATCTCTTTGACGCTTTAGTGGCAGCTGGGGGGGTGGTGGGGTTGGTGGGGATCTAATGGAATGAGTGGCCCATGGCCACATCATCACATCTTACATCCTGGTGGGGTGGTGGGGTTGGTGGGGATCTTATGGAATGATTTCTTGGAAAATTTTCTTGCATCCTGAAGTTGATTTTACATAGTGGTGGAAAACACAATTCGGGTAAACTTACGCAAAATGTTTCTGCATGGGTGCGCTGTTCCCCACTTTAGTGTGGTACCGCTCCTCCTTCCTCCTCCTCCCGCCTCCCGCTTGCCACCCGCCACCAACAAACTTCCACCAGCCAATTGCCACCAACAAACTGCCACCAACCAATTGCCACCAACAAACTTCCAGCAACCAATTGCCACCAACCAGTTGCCACCAACAAACTGCCACCAACAAACTGCCACCCACCAACAAATCGGATGTACGCCCTGGTGCTCCTGGGTCGCCGCCGCTGTGCCGGTGCGATTTGCGTGGTAGGCACAGCACTTTGGCGCTGTCCAAATGGTCGGATGTACGCCCTGGCGTCGCCCTCAGGGTCGTGGGCGTCCGCCGCTGTTTGCGTGGCAGGCGCAGCACTTTGGTGCTGTCCAGAGGGTCGGACGCACGCCCTGGGGGCCGTGATTTGCGTGGCAGGCGCAGCACGTGGGTGCGAGCGGGTTGGACTTCGCCTGTTCCGCGCCGGCCAGTCATCACAGAGGTGACGCAGAGCGAGGGTTGAACTTTGAACCTCTTGATCACTGCTCTTGCCCTGGACACCGCGAGCTGCCGATTTCAAGCTACAGCGCATTGCTGTCCTCTACGTATACATACGTAATCCATCAGCTGCGCACTCCACCACCATTCAGATGCACCCACACTTATACATACGCACGCAGGCACAATGAGACAAGCCAACAGCCACCAACCAACAACCACCAGCCCCATTTACTTCCAAACAACAACCACCAACCAACAACCACCAACCTCACTCTCTTCCTTCCTCTAACCCCTCTTGTCTCCCCACGCCTCTGCTTCTTCTGGCTGCAGAGGTTGTCTGTGGTAAAGTTGTTAACATGTAGGATTATCCGCTCCAGTTTTTCTTTCCATGTTATTTATCTATTCAAACTATGTTTTAATACTAAAAATATAACCTCATATTTTTTTATATTCTTATTTTTAAAAAATATCTCATATTAATCTATGAGATATACATTTTGGTTTATACTTAGATATATTTGACAAACGCGAATAAAACCACAGCATACGCACGGCCGGTCCTCCTCGTTGATGGCGGCGAACTGCTGCGCCCATGAATTTTAGAATGAATAGGAGGACATCTCTCCAAAAAGGGTTGGAGCAAAAAGGCTTGTCGAGGCACGTGTTTGAGCTCTGGAGGACGCTGCGGCGACCATGAAAGATCTCAAGAATCTTGTTCCTTCACATGTCTGGTTGATTCGACCCGACTGACGAACCGATGAAAAGCAGGATACCCACGAGGACGGCGCACGTTGGCACATTAACCGTGTCGCTGTGAATGCCCGAAAAGAAATTCAAATGTGATTTGTTCAGTCTAGCCTCAGACTCAACAAACACAAAAACACCGTTACGTTACGAGACTACTCGAAGTCTGACCTCTTTTTACCCCTCGCGTCGCTCTGCGAACGCGTACCGAAGTCCCAGTCCCAACGCTTCGTCGAAGGGCTTGTCTGCCGACGACGCGCCGCTAGAAGCTGGTCGATCGACTCCGGCTAAAACCCAAGGGTCTATATATTGGCCACAAAAAATTGGCCGCAAGCTGAGGCGAGACTTCCGCGGTGCTGTCGACTCGCCGCTCGCACGTCCACCGGTGCAACCATACTCCGTGTGCAAAAACAGGCAATTTGCCCGTCTGCAAACATGCTTTCGTTTGCGAAAGCGCTGGGGTATCGGCGGGATGCCGGGAGGCACATGGCGCCGTATTCCCGGGTGAGACAATTAAAATGCGTGTAGCGGCTACTTGGCGGGAACGGACCTTCAAGGAGCACAGCTCGCAAGAACTTGTCAGTTCCCTCCCCATGCGGTTCGGGCATGCCCTTAAAAACTGAACAATCCACGCCGCCGGAACACTCGGCAGGGTCCGCGCAAGACTTGCGCCAGCACGGGCGGCCCCGCCGCCCGCCGGAAGTGACCGGCGGCTGCGCGCCTGAGCGAAACAAGACATACTACGCGCCACAATCTCCTTAGAGGTGGCACGTGCATCGGAGCCCAACCTTCCCAAAGAATTATCCCGCAAGAGACCCCAAACAGTGTGTGTGTGTGCCCCTTGTAGTCACAGGGATTCAGTTGAATTGTTTCTTCAGCAGGGGAACTGGGCACTCTGTGACTGACCCAGTTCAACGAAGCTAGGTCACAGAGTGGGATATTCGGACTGATCATCCGAACGTACCTGCGATTTTTCCGATTCGTATGAATGGCATGAGGCTAAGCCCAGAACCTCAAAGACATGTTGCTGCAGTCACGCACGGAACGCCGTCACTCTGTCGGATCGGTTTCGCCTTACGAGTTTGGCCCCTTCTCCGTTTGAGGACCCCGAGGCACCTGTGGTTCTTATTTGTATTCTGATTTGTATTCTTGGGAAATGGAACCCTAGGCCGGCGCGTGGCACCGCTATCAGTTCAGTACGCATATCCATAAGTGTGTTTGGCCTCGTGCCAACCCGGGATGAGCCCGCAGAGTGCCTCCCGTGGACCCGTCGAACGGGGGTTTGTCGCTCGAAAGAACTATGATTTTCGTCCCATCTTTGGAATTCCAAGTTGGCTCATGCCCTTACGTGACCACAGCAGGCAGAGGTGGCAGCCCTCGGGCAAGCCGTACGTGGTCGGAGCGACCGAAGTTTGTTCAAGGTTCATTGGAACCTGTCGCGAGCTTAGTCCCCCCTCCTTCCCCTTCCCTCCCCTTTCTTTCCTTGCTTTTTGGGGTTTTCTTTCTTTCTCTCTTTCTTCTCCACCCTCCTTCCTTTTTGGGTGTCCCTGGCTGCTTTCGTCATAGCTGGGAACCCTTCTCCGCTCTTCCTTTGGTGTGTCCTTGGACGCATGCGTCGTAGCTGGGAACACCTTCCTTTCTTCTCATTGCAACCAACAAACTGCCACCAACCAATTCCCACCAACCAGCTGCCACCAGCAAACTTCCACCAACCAATTGCCACCAAGCAGCTGCCACCAACAAACTGCCACCAACCAATTACCACCAACAAATCGGATGTACGCCCTGGTGCTCCTGGGTCGCCGCCGCTGCGCCGGTGGGATTTGCGTGGCAGGCGCAGCACTTGGGTGCTGTCCAGAGGGTTGGATGTACGCCCTGGCATGATGCACCCACACATATATACATACACACGCAGACACAATGAGACAAGCCACTTCCAACCAACAACCAACAACCACCAACCCCATCCGCATCACTCTCTTCCTTCCTCTAACCCCCCTTGTCTCCCCACACCTCTGCTTCTTCTGGCTGCAGAGGTTGTCTGTGGTAAAGTTGTTAACAAGTAGGGTTATCCGGTCCTATATTTTGTGTAGGGTAGGTGAGACACATCTGTGGGTGCAACTGTGTCACCTAAATTAGCTGTTTGTTTGTTGGTTCTAGCTGAGGCACGTGATGCGTTTGAAAGAAGCTCTGCATTTCTTACCTTGATCCAGTGCACAAGCGATCTAAATTGCAAGTGCACAAGCGACGAAAATTCCAAGTGCACAAGCGATTGCTCGCCCAGTGATCTTCCCAAAATTCTCTCTGACACCACGTCCCTGGAGCAAGAACTATACCAACAAAGAATCACCTGCGGCATGCCCCAGAAACACCACGTCGGCCACGTCACTCACTGAGCGCCATCCATCCATCCATCCATCCATCCTTCCCCCCACGTCACTGCTCTCCCCGCGTGCTCTCCCCGCGCATGCCCAGCCTGAGTGCCAGGTCGGCAAAGGCACCCGCACGCTTGGCGTCCCAGGCCACGTTGAGGTCCCAGAACATGGCGGCGTCGGACCACGCGCGGAGCGGATCCGGAGCGGCTCGGTGCAGGCGAAAAGGGTGGGTCACCGGGGATGACTGGTGGAGAGAGGCGGGTGCTGAAGGAGAGACATTGAAGGTGCATTTGGTGGGCGGGGCAGGTGCGCTGAAAAAAGAGTCACCGGTTGACCGGAATCACCTTGGCGACATTTTGAAATGTTAACTGATGTTCAAAGATTCAAAGACACTACCAAAACCTTCTCTGGTTGGTGCTTGGGAGAAGTGATTTTGCCTCACCAGAGCTTCTTGATGCTTCTTGTCACTGTCGTGTCACTGTCAGCAAGCATTGAAGGGGTCGACCTGGATGTTGGAGATCGTTCAAGGAAACTGGCGGTCATTCCGGTACCCCTGAGGTGTTTTCAGCTGTCAGCCACGCACGCAGCGAACAGGTGCCCTTAGACACTTCCCTGAAGAATGGAGCAAATCCCAATTTTCTGCCAAAGCGGAACTGCTGATGGGCAGGGCTGGCAGGGCTTCTCAATCCGTTCACCTGCTTCTGGTCTTCATGAAGCAAGCAGTGTCGTCCATGCCGAAAGGCTAGGGCTCAAGCCTCCACGAAAACTAACAGAACCTAAACCATACACGTTTCTACTGGCTACCCACATTTGGACGTCATTTCACAATGGTTTATCCCACTCTGGCTGTCAACGCTGTCAAAACCATTTTGTGGCCACTATATGCATACTCATCCATACTCCCATTTCTCTTCCACAAGTACCATGCTCCTTCACCCAAAGATGATACTGCTGTGCCACACAAACACTCTGCAGCGCTATACTGAGATTCGCAAGACTCGGAGGTGATGTTGTCATACCAATTTTTTAAATAGGTAAAGGCAGGTCTCCAACCAACGAGTTCTGGTCTATTTCCCCTCTTCCAGGGATCGAACTGGGAGGTCACCCTATTTTAAGACACACTCCGACCAAGGGACCCAGGGGATGCTGATAAGCCCACGGAACCAGGGCCGACCCAAACCAATCCTCAATGTGTTTTGTACCGGAAAGCTTGGCCCGGCGTCCCACTGACGCTGCTGCAACCACCATCGTTCCTCTTTCTCTCCACGTTTGCCGACGCATGTGATGACATTTGCAAGGGATCCCGACAAGAGCATGATGTTTGCTCATGTGACGTGTGCAACTCTACTGTGCAGTGAGCAAACCAAGCGAGAATGGAACAACGCGCAAAGGTCGAGTTTGATGCTAGACTAGACCGCCTAAGACCTACCAGCTGGCGCACTGCACTTGACTCTTCTTGAGCCGTCTTTGATTAGATTGATAGAGCCTTGCTCTCACTATCAGGCTTCTGATGGAGGCAAGCAAAGCGAGGTGACAAACGACGAGGTCTGTATCCTGTTCCGGCAGAAAGTGTCACCATGTGTCGCTGCTCGTCGATCTTTGGTGTTCACCAGACCTTCTTCATTGCCCTTCAAAAAATAGGAGACCGGCAGAATCGATCACAATCTCGAACAAACAACTACTTTGTCGATCCAGAATCAAACAATTGGACATGTGGGACACAAGGCGACTTTCCAAGGTTATATGCGTATGACTTTTGTTTTCATCCTGACGTGGTGAAATGGTGATGAAGGAGGTGAAGTGCCGGAAGTGCCGACCGGACGCAGGTGGAAAGGTGTTTGAGTCCTTCGATGTGTCTTTGGGATCCTTGTTTTGGAAACGGTCAGTTTCGCGCTTTTCAGCAATGTCTGAATTGGTGTTTGAAAGGCATGTGGTTGGTTTTTAAAATGTCTTTTCCCAAAATGGTGCACTCATCGCAATTCCATGGGGGCCCGCTTCTAAATCTCCTTTAAACTCCAACCACACTCAAACCACAGGGATGTTCAATATAAAGGCATGTCAACCGCAAAAATTGTGAGAGGTGTCTAGCGCGGACCTTTTCAGGGGCCTGTTGAACTGCTGGAGCTGTTGTTGTTGTTGCTGCTACTGCTGCTGCTAGACTTCTGCAGTTGTTTCCAATTCTCAGAACTCTTCAGAACGACATAGGAAGGACGTAAGAGCTGACTCAAAACGTTCAGGTGTTGGATGGGCAGATGGTCAAGAAATGGACCGTCGTCTAGCGCGGTGCTAGCGCGGATCTAGCACCAGCCTAGCGCAAAAATCTTCGTCGATTTCTTCATCCTGTCAGGTTCTTAGTTTTCCTGCTTGCTCGTCTTCTTCTTGTTGTGCATTTGTCTTCTTCTTCTTCTTCTTCTCCTTCTCCTTCCATGTACTTCTGGTCGTGCTGGTGATGCAAAACAAGCTCACCAGCAGTGTTAGCATTCTCTGTTTATTGTGCTGGCAAAGCTTCCAATTACAATATGTTTTCGCCAAGATGGTTTTTTGGGGGGGCTATACAAGTGCTAGCGCGACAGCATGATCTTTGCACACGAGAACGAGTTGTTCCTCTGTTCTTTCCGCCGGAGCCGCACGTCCCGATCTTCGCAGCGATCGGACGAACCAGATCCTCTCGGTCACTGCAGCGTAGTCAGGGGGGCTCTGCGGTCTCTTTCATCCAAGTCGGAGGTGACTCCCCATTGGTATTCAAAGGGGTTGTGTTGTCTGTTTCATCGGTTTCGGGGCTTTGGAGTCAAAGAAAGCTTCACCTGAACCTTCCGTGGCCTTTCTTCCGCGAATCCCGCTGAGTTCGGGACACAAACGCACAGAGCAGCCGTCACAGCGATGTCCAGTCGCTGTTTGGACCGGGGACCCCGGGACATGCGGAACATGAGGAGGGGAAAATAGGGGAAAGGCTACCTGCAAGAAAGGACAATCAGAGTTTTTTAGTCTGAAACCCAGGCTGGGAACCTACCAGATGGAGTTCTCTTAAGAATGGACCCACCAGTAGCAGCACTGTGTGTGTGGACGGACCTAGGGCCAGGGCTGCGACGGACCCCGGGTCGCGCAACTCGTTGCATTCATCTTTCACCAAACGGACTCCGTGGCGGGGGATGTTTGATCTGTCAGATGGGTTACGGGGGTGTGAGGAGCTTCATCAAGTTGGATTGGTTGGGGCACAGCATTGGCAAGCCAGGCCGCGTCCTTGTTCCTAGGCCAGGAGCGCCCCGTTCGTAGCTCCGAACGCTCCGTTCGTAGCGATGCCCTTTGTTACTCGTAGCTTCATACCAGGAGTTCCGAAGTTGCTTTACCGCAAGACTTGCTCCCAAACCGTTCTCTTTTTTGACAGGCAGGCTGCCTGCAGGCTGACATTGGGAATGTTCTGTCCAATTGGTCCGGTTTCAGTTCCAAAGGAGTCCTTACCGTGTATCCCATGACAAGTAATCAGTGGAATCAGTTTTGTTCAAGGATTGTATACAGGCCTTTCTCCCAAAAACGGTCATCCTCTTTGACCGACTGTTACTGGTTTTCTGGGACGGGTCTGGAACCCCGAGACGGACCGGTGGCTTCCGAGAAAGGGTGCTGTGCCCCAACCAGTTGGACAGAAAATCTAAGGTCCACCAAGCCGGCCTGTAAAGAAAGAACCGGTAAAGCCTGCTTGGCCTTTTGCGACTTGTCTCATCTATCTGGAAAACCTCACAGGACTCGTTGAACCCCTGGTCCAGTCTGACCGGCCAGGCCCATTCGTGGCCTGACCCCCATCGCCATCAGACGAGCCCCAAAGCCTCTTTGGGCTTTACCTGACACGACGGCGGCAGAGTTGAAAAAGGGCCACGAGCTGTGCAGTTTCGGTCAGAAATCGAGCCCGGAGTGGTTTTTGGTTTCTGGTGGAAAAACGTCTACGCAGTATTTTCGAGAGAGAGAGAGAGAATGCATCACGCAAGGCAACCCATCAACAATCACCTGGCATGGTGGAACAGAAGGGAACCCCTCCCATCTAGCTCCTGGAAAATGCGATTCCCCCAGCTCATGTTGACTCGTGGACTTGGCCTCAACTCCGATAAATATGGAGAATGTCCCAGCTGTGTCTGGCTCTTCCTCCACTCAAGCGGAGTTCACGAAACCCTGCTTGAAAGTTACGTGTTGGATATATGAGATTGATTTGCTGACGTCGTTTTGCCACCCTGACTGATCGTTTTCTGTACCAATTGGGTCTAGCCACGGCCCCAGATCCTGTCCGACCTCGCTCCGAGGCGCACCGCCCCGTCCGACCCGACGCCTTGGACTCCGAATCATCTGCATGGCCGGCACACGACGTGCCTAGCTGCGAGCGTCGGTCGGCACTGTGAAAACACCGGTCGAAACCACGGGTTTCACTGAGGTCTTGACCAGGGCGAGGCGGGGGTGTGGCTACCATATGAGGGTGTTGCTACGGAAGGCGGACGTCTCTAGGGTTCTGCTAGAGAACTGCTAAGGAAGAATGAAAGAAACAGCGAGCAAATCCACCGATCAGCTTATGAAAAAATAACTCTTTGATGTACGGAGATGGAAGCAAGACTCCCTCCCAAGCCCAAACGGAAATGCTGGGCATCCCGCGTTTGGGGAGAAGGCGCCAGGCGAGCGAGTCTGATACCTTCAGCCGCCGGCAGTGACTGGGAGCGAAGGTCTTCAGCCAAAAACGGGGATAGAAACCTAGAAGCCCAGCCAACCTGAAAAGGCGAGCTTTGTAATGGGTATTCTTAAAGTAGTTCATGCCAAAGGTCGTTTCGCAAAGTTGGAGATACCGGTACTCTACCCACCTATTGTGCGTATACTCGGACCATATTGGCCCGTCCTGATGTGAAACACAGCTTTGAAGGAAGGAATTCCCCACCCAATCGAAACGATCCCTATCAGGTCTTCCCCACCCACCCGAACCGACTGCTTCGCGGTAAACCTGGGCGGTTCCCGCTTCACCACCTTCAGCCCTGAGTGGATGTACCTCGGGGCCACCGGAGAGACCACCGGAGACGCCGGACGAGGGCGGTGGAGTGGAACCGGTGGTGAAACGGGCAGCTGAGATGGTCTGGAATGGAAAAGGACTTGGCGCTCAAAATCAAGGTAACCAGATGGATCCATATGGGTCAATGAAGGTAAATGAGAAAATAGTGTCTTTTCTATAGAGATATAGCTGGTGGGTGTGGACAATCCCAAACTGTGGACAATGAAGAACATAGAATGTGGGACAATCCCAAAGCCATAGGAAGCGGTTGTGTGTTGGACACGTCCCAGACTCTGCGGCCTGGATGATGAAATATATATATATATATGTGCAACGAACTAAAACGACCATGCCAAAAAACGAAGCATCATTTTTGAGCTACTCATTCTGGCTGGAAACTTTCCGGGTGCAGTGGAAAGTTCATCACTACTAAACCTGGGAGTAGATTCTCCTGAACTGACCGGGCTTGGATCGCCTTTAGGCTGTTCCCCCCCACCCGAAGTTGGAGAGTGGTTCGCGAACTCCCAGCGTGGTATTGTTTTTCTTCGCGAATCTTGTATACAGCGAATGACAATTCCTGGAGAGTAGGTTCCTCCCATTCCAAAGTGAGGCGGCTTTTCTTCACACAAACACGGAAAAGAAGGCCATTGTGGCTGATTGAGATCCAGAAGTCAGGCCATCTCACATTGAAAAATCCCGAACATCAAAGAATCTCACATTTAGATGAATTCCAAATGTGCCCAGCAATCCTTCTTTTGGAACTTCCGTGGCCTCTAAACACATCTAAACACCGAGTGTGCCTTCACTTGCTGGTGCTTAAGCACGAGTGAATGAGTGAAGAACATTTGTTGAGAACTTTTTTCTGTACCAAAACCAGTTATAGTTGTGTCTAAAGTCTGAAAAAAAAATGATTTTTGTGGCACTGAAAAAAAGTGTCCTTTTTGGCACTGATCTCATTGTCAATGTGTCATGTGTTTGTTTTTGTTTAACCTTTGTTGGTTCTTGTAGTTCTTGTCTAGTTTTTTCTAGAAAGTCACGCTGGACCAAAATTGTTGAAGAGGTTGAAAGGTCAGGGGTGATGCTGAGATAGCGTCAAATCCTGCTGTGATAGCGCCATGGGTCAGGCGATGTTGAAGCCATAAGGCACAATGAAAACAAAAAAACATCACGACATACATTGTATTGCCTCCAATACATTCAGTGCTAACCCGGGTGAGCTTCTCCACAAAGGCACAGGTGTCATGCACGGTGTCACGTGTGAGACCGTCGGGTCACGCCCTGAGGCACCGTGCGCGGTGTCCTTGGGCATGGTCGCCGGGGTCACCGAGAAGTCTCCGTAGACGTGCACGCCTCGGGGGAACGGACGTCCGACGCGCCGTCAGTCGGTCATCAGCAGCATAGCCTCGTAAGATGATTCGGTGATTCGGTGATTCGGAGTCGTCCCAAACACAGGGGCCAAACGGAAGGTGGTGGATGAGTCGCGGACTGAGTAGTTAAAATGGCACGGTGGACGAAGATTGCCATGTCGTGTGATGGCACGGGTGAACAAAGGATGGTTGTGAGGACAGTCTCGCAAACCTTTCCAGGCAGGTATGTCAGCTGCAGAACTGGTCATATAGGAAAGAGATTGAAAGACTGGCGCTCAAAGCACTAGCTTTCCCTTATGTCTTCAGTGTTTGCTTCTTCTCGGATGAAGTAGAAACCCGCCGGGTTTTCTGACGCTTCTTCTGCTGTTTGCTCCGCCAGCATCTTCTTCTAACAACAAGTGAATTCACCCTCTAAAACATCCTGGTAGTTCCACAACCTCCCAACCTTCCGCCCCCCACCCCACCCGAACCGCTTCGTCTACAAAGGATCTCGAAGCCCTCCACTCCAGCGAACCGCGAACACGCTGCATCCGTGCACACTCGCGCGAACCCGCGAACCCGTTCTCCGCGGGTTCCCCGGCGGCGCTCGCGTTCCTCCTTCGACCCGGGGATCGCTGACAGGAACGGCGACCTGGCGCCGAGCGACTCCGGACGGAACGCGCCGCGTGGCACGGTTCCGGGCCTTTCCCCCCTTGGCGTGTCGCTCTGTCCGACCCCTTGGGCTCATTGGAGGACTCAACCGGCGAATGGCCCGAATTTGGGGCGCGAGAGGGAGCACCGGTGTCGAGACCAAATGTGAGCGCTTCTGCGCAGGAGACAGAGTGCGGTGTCTCGCACTCTGTAAAAGGCATGGTTTGGACAGAAGTTGCCCCTGAAAAGAAATTATCCCAACTAAAAACTCTTCGCCGTCCTTGCGAGATGGCCACTGAGATGCTGAAAACATGGCGAAGTGGCTTTCAACCAGCAACCCTTTGGACTGCTGGTAACTTGGATCTCTGAGAGCTGTGAAACGAACATTCCATCTCTTGTGTTTGTCGGATGAGTTGATGCAGGAGTTGCTGGTGGCTGCCACCATGGCGCTTGGCGACGACGGTTCGGTCCGCTGGGCGAGGTCGGCCCGGCGCGGCGGGGACGGGCGGCCGCTGTCAAGCGTGCACGGCAGGACGGCTGGAGGTGATCACGAATCTGCGAAGAGAAGGAAAGGGCACGGCTCAAGGAGATGTCAAGCTCAATTTTCGAAAAACCCACTGTTGATGCAAGGAGAACAGGTTGAAAAAAAACATCCTGTCGGAGTGATTCGAAATACTGAAGAAACGAAGCAAATTGCAACGGCCCCGAAAAGATGACGAATGTCCCAATAAAAGAACGGAGGGCAGGTTCTTGCAGTGTCCAGAAGTACAGAATTCCTCTCGATAGTCACCGGATGCTGGCTTCCTTTGCGGCCATGCGTTGAAGAAAAGAGATGCAGAACCTGTGATCAGGGATATCCAATCTTTTTGATATAGTGTTGACAGTTGACACTAGCAGATTTGGAAAGAGATGTCATGCGACAACCCATCTTAGTCAGAGCCTGAAAGATAACATAGATATATACATATACATACCCCATCCACTGCAACTCCCACTGCAACAACAAATGTGTTATGAACATAACATGACCCATCAACCGTGTTCGAACGGTTGGGAGAATTCATCAAGCAACATGTTGTGTATCCACCTGGGTTTCCCCAGTCCCAACCAGAAACAGTTCTGGATGTTTTCCCAGCCACTTCCTATGTACTTGATCTCAAGCTGGGCGCCATAGGAAGGAACAACCAGTCCCAGGGACTGGGGAAATCCAGGCATCAAACCCAGCGGAATGAGACTCAAGTCGAAGCAGTGAGATTCACTAAGAAACAAACATGTTTGAACTGTCAGATTTTGACACACCGAACTTGTGGCTTTAGGTGAACAAGTTGATCGTAAGTCGCATGAAAGCAATGTACAGTTCATCGTCCCAGACCAATGGTGGATTCCCATGATGTCTCCCGCCAGTTCCTCTGGCAGATCTTCCGCGAAGAAAACAATGCCCAGCGGCCACATCTGAGTTGCTGTGGTGTCGAATTCGTGCCTCAGTACCCAAACAGCCACCAAAGTGGTCGGAGTGTTCCCGGATGCTTTGAAAGATCTGGCATGGATTGGCCACTCGTCACCTACACTGACACTTTGAACGTGGTCGGGAGGTAGGCTAGATGGAATGAAACCCCGAACAACAATAATCACTTTAACAGCAGTGGGACATCAAGTGTAGCAACTTCAAGGACCAATGCAAGGGACAGGATGTTCAGGTTGGTTTTCGTTGCGTTGCTGAGGGCCGATTGGCCCGTTCGAGTTTCTGTGGTCCTGTAGAGAATCACGGGAATGCAAAATCCATTGTTTTCCAAAGCGGTACGCGCTCTGAAACACGGTTTGAGGGTCCTGAGGACCCCCCCCGAGGAGGGTCCGTGGCAAGACAAACGACATTCCGGCGGGTGAACCACGCGCCATCGGTAGCTGGCAAAAGGATAACAAAGCCAAAGCCGGTTTCAGCCTGTCACCTTTCCCTTCGAACCGCGAAGGCCTGCGAACGGGCCGTCGGCTTGAAACGGTCCTCAACATCGAAAACCATGAACAACTCACTGGCAACGGTTACCTATTGGCATGGACTTGCCTTGCACCGGCGTCACGTTGCCCTGATATGTTCCAGGCTCTCGAACAGTGCCGTGACCATGACACTGATGCCAACTCAGACAATTATATACCGCAAATCTGGGCACATGATCTAAAGTAACGCACCGTCACAAGCTTAAAAAGCCACATGCGGGCAATGCGCCACCTTACCCTACAACCCGCTTCACTATGTGGAAACTGGGATTCTGCGCGCGTAACGCACAGCCGCCTGCCCCCAACCTTAACATGGCATATAGGTATATGGCAAAAAAAGGCGGTAAGTCAGAGACACACTGCATCAACGTGCAACTGCCTCCTCGTTCAACACATCAGGCCTAGTGGTTGGTTCGGCTTTGAGACGTTGGCCCCTCCAGATAAGCATCTTCAGCAGAAAGGCATCTGTCTGCGCGTTGGCTACCCAGAGGTGTTCTTCCTTCATGCTAGTGCAGACTGTGCACACATTATCTCAGAGCACGCTGCAAGTTTTGAAGGCCGCCTCTTGCATAGACACACCCTTTCGCACCCCCTTTAGATTGCCAAACACGTCCTTGGCTTGCTCTTTCAGGCGCCGCCGCACTCGACACTTTTTGCTTGAAACTTGCAACCCAGATCTAGTTGTTTTCATGTTTCATGCACTCGGTCAAACGGAGACGACCATATGACCTTGGAGACGACCTCCACAATCACCGCTGTAGTGACGCCATGAAAACCATCGCGGTGTGCACCCATGAAAACCAAAAATGATTCAAAGGCGGTGTGCCAGTGAGAGGACCCCATCGCCTTCAGCTGGAGTCTCGGGGTTTTTCAGCTACCACGACCCATCCCGGCCGAACCCCACCAAGGAAATGACCTCTGCAAACAGCGCTTCACTACTCCGTGCCTGGCGGGTGTGGCTCTTCCGCACTCCACTGGACTCCAGATCAAAGATCTCCCCGCCAACCACGTATTTCTGGCGTCGTTGAGGACCAAAAGGGGTCGACCGTCGTGGTTCAGATCGGATCGTCGGTCGACGACGCGGTGGGGGCGTTCCCCTGCCGCTCGAGCTCGGGGTTCGGATCCGTCGAATCTTCGGGTGCGCTGGGTATGGAGTTCGGAGGTCAACTCGCTCGAAGGGGGAGTCCGTCCGGTGGTTTCACATGGGAATTCACCGAAAAAGAAGCAAACCACTTTGAGATATCTTGAGATCAACCACGTGAGATATCTTCCAGAGGTTTCCACTGCACCAAAGAAGAGGTTTTGTTCATCTTTTTCGCATGTCTTGACAGTCTTCACGGTGGCACAGCAAATCTTCGGGAAGCCAGACCGGCTTAAGGAGAGACCAACGGCACTCGCGTTGTTCTTCAGGGGTCCTGTCCGTGGGTGGGTGTCACAGGCACAAGGAGTCAAACGTTGGAATCTTTGGAAGCAGACCTGGATGAGAAGCGGTCACAGCACGACCGTTTCGAGGGTCTTGCCCCGAGATGTGTCGGTCAGGCACTCAGATGAGTCAAGATGAAACATATGACTACCAATGAACATGCATCATCATCTTACCGCTCCCCCATCCGTCCGTCAGCCAAACCAGCCGAAGTCTTCCTTTCTGGGGCCATCCCTTCGTGTTCTTCTGAACCTTGAATGGAGAAACATGAGAAAAGGCATGTTCAGGGTCTTAAAGGACTTGTGCTTCCGGTCACTAAGCATGCCCTCAGACTCCAAAAAGCATCCCAAACATGTACTCCAAGTGAAATCCTTCGTGGTATCAGTGCAAAAACACGCAGAATAATCTCGCATTCCGCGATGGAATGGCTTGCGTGAAATCCTTGATCTGCCTCCGCGCCAGCTGCTCGGGGGCTCAACTCCGGCTGGACGGCGGCGGCCTTGACGGCGGGTGAATCTCAAAGGGTTGATGTGGATAAATTTGAGACTTTGATTTGGTGTCGCAGGTGGTGTCCCTGGAAAAAAAATATGTGTGTTCTTCCGCTATTTGGTTGTGTTCGTCATGTCAATGTTGTTGCCCTGTGGTTTTTCAGTGAAGAATATCTTCGGATGTATTGAGGAACGAGGACAGAGCATCCATTCCGATGACGAGGAACAATGTGTGATTCCTAAGATAGTGAGAAAGCTCAGTTCGCTCTGTGATCAAGGGCCTTACGTTCCAACTTTCCATAGAAGATCTGCCTATCATAACTAACTCTGGTCTAAGAAGGGCATGACAGCATTTCCCTGTTAAAACCTGGAAGTACTTCCACTCTCTTTCGGATTCTTTCCCATCTCCAGTCTTCTCAACCGCCTGGGGACCCCCAAAAAAGTGGCTTGAGCCCTGGTCCCCTCCCCTACCCAAAAAATACCAGATCAAGCGAATTTGGACTCTGTTCTTCTAGGGGGCTCATCCATCTTCAACTCATCCAGTCTCCTCTCATCCCCCGTCCCCACCATCTCTCCACTGGTCCGATGCCCAAAGTCGGCGGCCGCAGAGGCGATGCGGCCTGGCGATTTCTGGTCCCAGCGCCGCGGCGAGTGACCACCAGCAGCAAGTCATGAAAAACATGAAGGAAGAAACAAGAAATAGATATAGATATACTTATATTTATATTATATATATATATACCTTGCGAGTCAAAGGCAAAAAGAAGGGTCTTTCAGGTAGCAAACACATCTTCTTTTCACATTCAGGCAATCTATTTTTTGTAATACGGAGGTCAGAACTCACCCCAAACGGCGTTGCCTTACTGTTCCCTTCACCCTCTCCTGGACCCACCGCTGGCCTGGACTGGCCAGGTCCGCGCGCTCGGCTTGTTCAAGCCTCCGTAGCGATGCCAGGTTCGCCCCGTTGGAGTCGCGTCCTTATTCGCTCCTATATAGTAAGGCCAGGAGCCCCGTTCGTAGCTTCTTGTTCCTAATAGGACCTTAATAGGACCAGGTTTTTGTATGATCAAGGATCATGTGTCGGAAAATGGAGAATGGGGGATGATTTGCGTTCAGGAAAAAGATCCGATGGGGAGGGATGGGTGGAGGGTGCTTTTTGACGACCCGGGTTTTGCAGATCACCTCCCTTCGCCTTCCAAAAGCATGTTTAAAATGGTCTCACCTGGTTTTGTAGTGCCGAATCCTTAGCAAAGATATGGTTCAGACCTAGGTGAAAGGCTATATCCGAATCCATGGAATCCATTTCCAAGGCCTCGTTCCGGACCTAAGGCTTGGGCTACTGATCGATCCTTTTTCGCCACTTGGCTATCGATCATCGGACCTGTTGACCTCTGGTGGGGCCCATGAGGTGGCGCCCATCGATCATCCAAGGACCTTCGGGTCACACGGGTTCGGTTCTGTTGACGAAGTCTCACTTCGTCCAGACGTTTGGGGGAACTCCTGTGCCCTTCCAGGGCACCGTCCGAAGCCCATGAGCTTGTGGAAAAAGCTGGCCCATGAACTTGGACTTGCTGCAACTGCTTGGACTTGCTGCAACCACATGATGTGGCTCTTTTTGCTGGGTAAAAAATAAAAGATGATCCTTTCCGCAAGATTAAACGTGTTGTCTCGTTTTGTGTCTATACAGAAAATGAGGTGTTCTTCCTGTTTGCAGGCGTCGTGTTGAGGAATCGGTCGGAATACGAACCACTCCCAGGGCTGAACGAAGGTATGCGCAGCTGAACGACTCCCGGTCACTGAAATACGAAAGGAGTCCACAACCTTCCGATAACATAGTGTCTTCCGTTTCATAGGTGTTTCCCGTAAGAAAACGCCTATGACTGAACAAAATGACGTGACCCAGTCATTGTTCAACCCTGATCTCCCCCCTCGACAGAAAAAGGAAGCTCGGTCATGCTGTGCAACACCCTTTGTTCGACGAGAAAACCCTTGGCGCCAAGAAGAAGTTCCCTCAGCAAGAAGTCCCTTTTGGACTCAAATGTGCTGCAAATCTTCTTGATCTAAACTATGTGCCATGAGACTCTTCCGGCAGCGATGGTCTGACTGCATCTACCTTTCTGTTTTGCATGTGCATGTATACTTGTGTGTGTGTGTCTGGATATCGGCGGGTGTACGATGCATGCTCTCGTCTGTATGGCATGCTGTCGTCTCTTCTGCGCGAAAATCTGAAAATTGTTGCCTCACTTCTTGTAGGCACTGGTGTAGGCCAGAGGGACTCCATAAGGCGTGAACTTCAGTTCACAATCCTTACTCCCAGAGCAAAGTTGATGCGTGTGTTGCTGCGAAACCTGAAACCGGTCACCAGTCTTGTCAATGGGCCTCACCAGGTTGACGCACCAAGGTGTTTTCTCACTCTCCGTCGCTTAGGTTCAGGAACTGGAGCAGAACAGATCCACATGCGGCGAGAAGCACATGTTCCAGCTTCCAGCAGAGGACTTCTTGGGAGGGTCATCCACATGGGTGTGTATATGTGTGATCAAAATGAGAGGGGAGCGCTGTGAGCTGTACACTTTTGAATGAAAGTGACAATGTTCAATCATTTGTAAGCATCTTGATCTTGATTAATCTCCCCCATGGTCTGTGCAGAATTTGTTTGGCGTGTTTTTTTTTGTGTTGTTTGGTTTCCTTCAAGATGCAATTGTTCAATTTGTGCAAGGAAAGCAAGTTGCTGATAAAAATTGGGGTGAAGGGACAGTGGACAGTGCGAAACAAACCTTACGGTAACCTCACACAAGTTGTGGGGGAGCAGTGGCAAAAAGGTTTGCCGATTGAACATCAAAAAGAAACGCTCCGCGCCGCGGGCTGAGAGCGCTCCAACGCTGCTTTTTCTCATAGGGACGACCATCCCAGTGCCTTCCCCCCTTTCCATGGGCGCTTCGCCCCAACAGGGGAGGCCGCTTTTCGCACGTCGCAGCGAGGGAGGAGCGACTGGAAGAGGTGGGCATCCCAGGCGGAGTAGGCGAGTCGCGTTCGCTGTGTGGGTTGTTCGCTGGGTGGACACCGAGTCCAGTTTATGTTTTTCTTTCCGGACGTCAACTAACTCCAAGGGTCTGGATCAAAGACAGCATTGTGATGCACTTCGCCTACATCGTCACAATCTTCCAGCTGATGTAGCAGCTTCCTGAGTTGCTCGACTTCGAGCGGATCCATGGATCGAGATCCGAGGACTGCCGGTAGAAGAAGGAAGAAGATTAGAAGTTCCTCTATCAGCATTTGTTTCCGGGGGGTGCAAGAGGCGATGTCTTCACAACAATGGCATCCTTCTGGCTCTCCTCGGCTACATATACATCTGACCGCACAGGACCAGGTCACGTGGACCAGTTTCCGAACCATGACCGCGTCCCATGCGGTCTCTAGTCATGTCATTTCAGTCCCATCGGTCCTGGCGTTTTCTTTCTCTTTCCGTTGCAGAACACCGGTGTGCACGGTATGGCCTTGGGAGACCCAGGTGTACACCGGGCCTGGAAGAGGCCGAGACGATGCCGTACACGTGACGCGTACGGACCCCATCCTGGCTGGAGATCCCCCTGCACTACTCGGCATCTCCAGCCAGGACACCTGCAAGTCTGGGATGGTCCAGGTATGCTCATCCTGTACAACCGCAAAGACCGGAACCGCCGCCATGGCCTGTCTTCTTCCCCTGGCCTGGCTTTCCCACCCATCCGTCCGTCACCGTCACCGTCGCCGCGCGGGTTTCCGCGGACCTCGACGTCTCCGCTTCGCCGTTCGTGCCACGCGCCGTTCGCCCTTCGCGCCGGGTGGCAAGACCTCGTAGCTCTGCTCGTGGCTCAGTGGCGCTTCCACCTGCACTCGTCTCACCACCTCTGACTTACTGGGTTCCTCAGGACCGTGCGAGGCTCTGCCGGAGAAAGCCGGTGGGGCCGGGGCCCAAAGGCGGGCGAAGGCCCCCCCAGGTCATGCCTTCGAACAGTGATCCCAAACAGATCTATAATACTACTGCGATGCGGGTCTGGCCTGGGCCGATCTGTCCAAAAAGAAGGTAAGTATATTGGTTGGGGTCATCTACTCTTTCCTAAAGTTTATGCTTGGTGGCCAAATCTTCAAGTGAATCCTTCGGATGAGCAGTTTCATTGTACTTGGAGTCCGCCAACGGGATCAAGTCAAGTGCAGCGTCATCGCTGGTTGAGATCGGTGCAGTGTCATTCGCTGGACTTGTTCTACGACTCGGCGCGGTCACAACGAGATCCAAATCTCTCAATTGGCTGCTCATCCCTACACCAGCGAGTGCCTTATGACCCCCAAAATGGGAGATTTACAATATATAGATTTACAAACAAAATCATTCTACTAGCCTTCCAGAGGGTCACCGCAGATCGAAGCCCCCAAAAGTCAGAAGACACAGTGCCTTCTTTCCCCCTCTTCCAAAGCAAGGACCGCCAACGGCCACCGGGTCGGACCCGAGGCGCGAGGCCCGCGCCCTCGAAGGCCGTCACCGCCGAGTGGAAGTCCTCCGTCGTCGTGATAGCCTTCGTGGTTCGACCGAGCGGGAGCGGGAGCCAGCGGGCGTTCGGTCGCTTCACCGGTCGGGTGTTTTTGAAGGAAGGATGGTGACACATGGGGGTTCTCACCCGGGTCATTTGGAGTCGTCGGTCTTGAAGTTTATTTAGCAGTATTTGAGGTGGAGGTTGAGACAAGAGGTTTTTGGTGAAACCACCAACCAATGAAATGATGATGGTTGGTGAGAACATCGAGAGACTATGAAGTAGCCATTGCTACATAATGCAAAAAACACAAACTGCGTTGGAATGCAAGGTTGTGGGCTGTCTTTGAAGAGTTTGAAAGCCAAAAACTGGATCGGAACTCTGCCAGGGACCGGGTCTCACATCAAACAAAGATGTTCACCCTGCCCTGGTTCATGGGGGGTCTGTCTAAACGCGACCACCTCTTTAGGCTTGGTCACGTTGCTCGGATCTTCTGCTCTTGCTCACCGGAATCTTGACCAGGACCGTCTCAGCGAAAGGTACCAGTGGTGCCGTGCAGCTGGTGTCAAAGGCATCCTGATACGCCGTCCTCTGGTTTGCCTTCACAGCAAATCTGCTTCGAATGATGGAGCACCATCTCACCAGCCAAGGCCATAGGTTGTGGGAAGTGTGCAACGTCATGCCATACTCTGCTTCAACGCAGTACCTCAGGGTCAGCACATCACCTCGTAGGAGTCGTTGAAATGCTCCCATGTGTCCAAGGCTCTGGCTTGAATACCTTGGAATTTCTTCAAAGATGATCTTCAGTCCGGCCGCACCAGGAGCTTTCCCTTCTCTCAAGGCCGCTGCAATCTTGGCCACCACCTTCTTGATCACAGGCTCATTGTCGCTCCTCAGTTTAACAGTGGTGTAGCCGAGCTGGGTGATGAATGAAGTGATCACCTTCACAACGTATGGCATCTCCAAGTTCTTGCCAGGAATGCTGAGGGCTAGTGCCATGCCAGTGCCACTGTCGACGATGGAGAGCACTGTGTCGCTGCTTTCCTCGAATCTGTCTGCTAAGCTGGTGTCTGTCTTCAAGAAGGAATAGTCCAGCTCAAAGTGGTTATCTGCCAGCTTCTGCTCAACTGTCAGTCGACGGTGCGGCTCATCTGAAGCATGACCTCGTGTGCAGTACTCACACCAAGCTGCTGGGGGATGTGAGTGATCAAACGCCTCTCAACTTCCTCTGTGTCCGGCATCTGAGGAACCGGAACATATCTCACATCTGGTTCTCGACCTTCTCGAAGAGCTTGTTGTCGAGCGCTTTGCTTCTCCACGTAGTCACGTGCTTTCGCTTGCCTTGCCCTCAATGCTGCTTCGGCCTTCTTCAGCCGTTCCCACAAAGTGTGCTTGTCTCCATAGATAGGCTCATCAAGTTCTCGAAGCCTCTCGC